TGACCCAGCTGCAGACCATGGTCGGGTGCCACAGCTTCTGTAGGCTTTTGTCAGCAGAGATATCAAGTGATCGAGGCTGTGGAGAGGGGAAAGAACGCCTGTTCCTTTGCACAAAAAGGCCCTTTATAAGCTGCTCTGGAAAACCACCAGCCGTTGCGATCCCCAGTCCCATGTAGGGCCATGTACTTCTCCATGGCCAACAGCTAAGCTCAGGTGCCCTGTGCCGGTGGGAAGCAGAGAGACTTCTGCCTTCACCTTACCCAAGACTGTGCTACTTCCAGTAGTTTGCACTGGTTGAGAAAGTGGAGGAATGAGGAAAAATGTCACATAACGTAGTAGCAGTGAAGTTATGCCGTGGTGACAGGCTACTGGGGGAAGACCGGAGCCTGTCAGCTGCCCAGGGTTTCCTCTGGCTTATGGTCCCTACTCTATCTCAGCCCCTGGCTCACCCCTCTGCAGCAGTCCTGGCCACCAACTGCCCTTTCTTGGAAAGACGTTCACAGTGCTCTGCAGCTCTGCACAGCCTCCTTCCTCCGGCCCTTGCTGCTGATGGCTTCCTGATGGCTGAAAGCCATCATTTGAGTCTCTCCTAGTTGTGTGCCAGGCTGCTGATTTACAGCTGCTCTGCTGAACTTCCACTGAGCTGCCTGGATCGAAGAAGGGACAGCAATGCCCTCTGTTCCTCGCCACATTTTCACAGGTTTATTCTTTGGAGTGACTTAAATTTTTTGCAGGTTGTCCTCTTGTGGAAGTGGTGGGACTTGCACAGCTCCTCCATGGCAAGCTTAAGCAGGAGGCTATCTTCAAGCTTCAGGGAGTCCCTCCTGGTGCTCTGCAGAGCTTGACCCAGAAAGAGCAGAAGATGCTTGGGAGAGTTTGTGGTGAGAGTGAGGTGTTACTAATTGGTATTAACCCACCTGAAAAATGCTGTATCTGAGGCTAATGGGAGCTTGAAGGTGTTGCCGAGCTGGGGAGGACTCACTAACACTGTCCAGATGTTTGCAGCTGCTGGTTGCATCCGAGGACCCTGTTAACAGGACCTTGACATGTGTTTGAGTGCCAGGAGGGCTCCGACCGTGCTGCTGCCGGCTCTGTGCTATTTAGATTTGCCCTTTGTGTTGGCAAACCCCAGAAAAGTCCCCTGTCCCTTTCCTCTGCTGAAATGTCACCTTGGGCAGGCGCACCCAGAGGTCCCTAGGGCACTTCCAGTAAGGGTGTCTTGCAGCTGTCCCCATTTTTAGAGCAAAATAATTTGCAAAGCTTTAATTACTAGCGTTAATCAATATTATTATCAGGGCTTCAATAACTGTTGAATCCTTGCCCTGAACTTTGGAGGAAAGTTAGGTGACCCCAGGAAGGGACCCATAAAGGGCTGAAGCTGAGCAGGGAAGGTGCTGCGTGTGTGCAGGAAGGAAGGTGAGCTGCACCCCATCCCCACGCTCGCCGTGAGGGGTGGTGAGCTGTGCCACCCGCCGGTTTGATGGGGCTGGATGCTGGCACCCAAAACGCAATTAATAATAATAACCGTGGAGCGTACTGAGGGTTGCTGGTGGGATGGATGGGGTTATTAATTGCCTTCCCCCCTTCCTCCATCACCTTCCTTGTGCAGGCAGCCTCTCGGTACCCCCTCGCCTCTCCTCCCGGAG